AAGAGCGAAAAGGGAAAAGTGCGATAGTTTAGAAAACAAGTATCTCATCAGATAGGTAACTGGGATGAAACAGCCCTCTTAATTTCCTTCCCCCCTCATCTTCCCCAAATCAAATGTTTAAAAAAAGGAAAAAAAAAAAGAACATCTGCATCTTCTTGTCACGTATTATAGTTTTCATGTAAACTTATGACTTAGAGGCCATAACTCCAAGTCATAACCTTGCCAAAATTATTTCAAGAAATATGTTCAGCTAACCTTTGGGCTGGCACCTTAGGCTGGCTATTCTCTGCCTTAAGACGTAGAAAGCTGCAAAACAAATATCCAAAAAAAGAAATTCCAGCTTTTTTTTTTTTCTGTAAGGAGGATGGACTTGGCTGGGGTTTTTATCAACTTGTTACATTCCTGGAGACTTACACACATTCAACATTCAGAGCTTTTCTGAAATAAAAAAAAAATTCTGGTACACATTTAAAAATGGAAATACCTTACATCAGTATTTCATTATGAGATTTAACAAACACATTCTGATACATAAGAGTAATTAAATATAATGACGTGATGCTATTCTTATTCAATCAACTAAGGAGCTACACTTTGTCGTGTTTCATGTGGTACATGGTTGTAAAAATTCTCATGTTTCACAGTTTAGGTTCAATGTTTCCATCAACAGAACATAAGTGCTGTTCTTAAAGAGACAGTATCCTTTCATTTAAGTATAGGTATATATTTTTAATGCTGCGTCTCCACAGAGCAAACATAAAGGGTTAGCATCTGGATGCTAATTTGAGAGTAATTAAAATTACACCCATTTATAAGTATCTGAACATCTGCAACCAATAAACATGCTGGCATATGAATTTACTAGTCATTTTTATAATGTTTAAATTTTGAATGTCACCTAAATTAAAACTAATGCTTAGAGACCTTTTCAGCTCTTACTACCATATGAAATTAGATACGCTACAAAAGTTAAATAAGATGGAAACACAGATTTATGTTTTGGGCTTATTTTAAATCAATTTATTTGCCAATAAAATTAATGTTAGCAGCATAGCTTGTTAGGCTACGTAGCGTTATTATAAAAGACTGTGACTTAAGCAACAGCAGCTCTTTGTATTTTAAGTAGTATGTGACCAACACTTAAGGGTTTGCTATGATTGCAACTTACATTGGTTTAAATTAGTTTTAACCAGAAAGTCCCTTAGTGTTTGTTACAGCAGAGGGAGGCTTCCCAAGTTGTTGCTGGGCTTTGAGAGAAGCTCCAAAACCGAATACACTACAGTTGTAAATGGTCAAATAAGGTTACTGTTGAGATTTACTTGGGAAAAACTGGACTGAAAAATTATTATTCTACATGTGAAGTGCGGGAGGGATGCAGTGGGGAAGTGGAAAAGGATACTGTATCTTTAACATAGTAAAGTCATAACTGCTTTAAAAGCATAAAGCTTGTAAACTGAAAAAAAAACCAAACAACTGAATAAAAATAGCAAAACCTCATTTTTTCTTGCATAGCAGTATTAAAGCAGTTTTGCAATTCTGTATAAAATGTCTTTTCTTTGAAAAGTACCAGGGATGCACAAAAACATTGTTCATTTTATAAGAAGCAGACATGCTGCATATCAATATTAATTAAACATTGCCAAAACAATGCATTAATATAGACTGTATTCTTGCAACCACAAATTCAGTAACAAAACTCTTACTGATTTTAAGGAGGTTTCTGCTAGTGAGTCAGCCTCCTGGAAGGCAGTATTTTCATGGCTTGTTATTGACAAAATCATGGTTTTATTTTTGTGCATCTTGGACTATACAGAATTGCCATTTCCACCGAAAGCATTGTTATGTGGAAGAAACGGAAGTCCTAGCAGCTCATGGCCTCTTCTCCCATTGATGTATGAGATGATTTCTATGGGTAAACTCCCATCAGCATTATCGTTGGTTATACAAAATCTCCTTCTAGGCATCAATGAGAGCACAGCCACCTTTTCCCCCACCCCGCCACCACCACCTTGCATCTCTGTAAATAGATTGCATGGTACAGATACACAGTCTTTAAGCTCATTAGGACAGAGGCAGCAGCACTGACAGTGTAAGTTTTCTTCACGACTGTTGTAAAGAAGGCAGCAGCATGCACAGTTTCCAGCAAAGCATTTGGTTATGCCCACATCTGCTATATCAGCTTGTACAAGCTCCCCCCTCTCTCTCTTGCAGGTCCTCTTAAGAACCTCCTGAAAGAGTATGCTTTCTACTACGTTACATACTACGTATGTTAGCCTGACATCCTTCAATTACCTTTTTTTTAATGATGCAGTGCTAAGGGGAGGTGTAAACTGATGGCTTGGCTTACACTCTTACTAACGGGCTATTTTACTGTATACCTTCTTGATCGCTCCATCGCTAGGCTTTTAAGCCAATTGCCACTGTTTTAGTGTAAGGTGGTGGGAAACTGCTTTGCTGACCTATTCTGGTTTTGGTCCCTAGGTAGAACACTCAAACCTCAGCACAGGGAGATAACCAGATGGAGTTACAACAGATGGATGCTCTGAAAGAGCACACTCATCTTCACAATTCCTTCTCAAGACAGACTTTATAGACTTTATTGTTTAAGGAGAATTCAACAATGAAATGAGTGAAGAAATTAAGATACATCACTACTTGTAAAATGCATGTTCCATGGGATTTTATTGCTGTTAAGCATCTTCTGTTGGTCAAACTTTCTGTCCACCAGACAAAATCTCAGAGTACCCTCTGCTGACTCCAACAGCCATGCAGACTCATGCCAACGGAGTATCTGACAGCAGATCTGCAGCCGTTTATAGAAGCTGCAGATCATAGATCCAACCTTCTATTTTGTACATATGCAAACACAGAAAAAGGAACCATTTTTGCTATCACCTCTAGCAAAGGAATTGTCCAAACTGTAATCCAGAATGAGAATTCAAGCTGGTTTATATTGCTTTTCTTAAAAAAAAAAAAAGAATCTTCCTTAACCTTTTAAATCTATGTTAAAGTAGTATCTCTTTCTACAGTTCTCAGCTGTTGAACTGCAACTGAAATTTTGAAGCAAAAGGCAGCCTACACCTTTAGTGTACCTTGACTACGTGTAACTAGCAGACAAATCAATTGCAAACAGCCACACAGCCAAGTACAAAGCAGGTATATTTTGTTCATGAAAGACACACGCGTGTGGAAACCATTTTTACAGCTTCTGAAAGAACTATAGAGATATTTGTAAGCCAGCTACAAGCGAGACAGGTAGACCATTACTTCTAAGAGTAACTTTCAGGGAACCAAGATGGATTAGCGGCAAAAACATCTGTGAAGAACTACAATTTTTCAAATAACCCCTTGCATGTTGGAAACTGAAGGGAAGAACTTCCACTTTTAAACTGAGGAATAGAAAGCATCACACTATTTCTTACATAAGTCTCTCCGTGAAATGAGTGTGTCTCTTATATCCTGTATTTTAGTTTTCTAATGGGCTAAGCAGGTTCCAGAGCTCAGTATGTGAGTATATATTCACAGCTGATTTCTGTACACCAGATTATCAGCAAGGTCAGTCAGCAGCGGTTCCAAGGACTTCCCTGCTGCTTGCCCTACCTCTGACCTAGCAAAGACACTTGGGCAGCAAGGCCCAGATTATCCTTTCCTTGAGAAACACACAGGAAGACAGCCATCCCTGCAGAGTACTGTCACAGACATCTTATTAGGGGGACGAGATAACAGGCTTCGGCAGGTCTCCTAGACTACAGTAGCTAGCATACAGGAATGGGCATGACTCTCTTCTATTCTGCAGTTGACATTTCTCATCCAGCTCAAAGAACTGAGCTCGAGCTCAAAAAGTTGAATTAACTTCCTTAGGCAAATTTTTTCTGCTGGCACACAGAAAAGTGCATTTGTGCAAGATTTGTGCAATGATGCACACCCCGACTTGGTTCTCCCTGTATGCTTTAAAACCCATTTAATCACTTCTGGGTTAGGACAACACACTCAGTACCACAGATGCAGTTGCCTTACAATGCAAAAGGAGTTATGAATTAAAAATGTACTGTTGATACCTGCTGTCACCAAAAACGCTCTGCCACAGGAAGTCAAAACCCCCTAGTCTGAGAGAACTCCAGAGAAAACACTTTCTAGCCTCACTTTTGCTCTGGGTTGTAGTTTTGCTGTGTGCACAACAATAACACATAAAAATGCAGGGCAACAGCCCTATTTTTACACACACCTCATCAGGTACTTTATCAACATCATTTTTCACAGACATAGGCTTTTGTGCGATTAGTCCCACTCACAGCTATTACTCCCGCTACTACTTACTAAGGTGCAAGTAAATCCTGCAGGCTGGACAACAACACAGCATTTTTTTGACTAATTTCAACTGGGATATTTAACATCTAACTTTAAAGCACTGGTGCTGTGAGTCCATCAGCGTACAGGATCGGCTCTACCAATGATGAGGTTACTTCACATGAACTAAGAGTTGTTGCTTAAACAACATTGCTGCTGCTTCCAAATTAGTGTTTGTACACACTAGGTTTAACTAATAAACCTGGTTTATATACCAGATCAAAACCTCAGAAAGACTACTTAGTTAGGTTAGTGATGGAATATATCCACCATTCTAAATCTGGATTAGGCCACTAAATAAGCATGAATGGATTTTCAATTTATAAGGACTTAGAAATGCCAATTAGTTTGAGTGACATTTGTTCAGCCCCTTTGAAAATATGGCTGTATTTGTATCAATCTCAAAATGGATCTAATTGCCGAAACATGGATCTCACTTTGGTGTTCACAACCTGCAAGGAAGGGGAAAAAAAAATCTCCAACCTGTTCCAAAGTTTTTGATTATTTCAGTTGGAGGGACACCTTTGAAGTGCACTTGCTGGAATCAGAAGGAGCATTTGGGAAGGCAATTTCACATCACCGAAGAGAGAACATTTCCACCAACTGAGATGTTACAGCTGACACTGACAGGCTTTGGAAGCAAGTTTACAGACAGATCAGACCTACGTGCACTTCCTTACATGTACAAGTCTTGACTAATGTAATCTATTAACAGGAGACAGAGGATGTTTTAAAGGAGGAGTATAAATTAATGCAGGGGCCTGATTTCAGCTTCTTCCTACATGTTTATAAGTGAAAAAGACAGCTGAATTATGCTGACTTGTGTTACTAAGCAGCAGTAAGCATGATTATGCCCTTTGTGCACTCCTTCGTCAGTCAAAGAGACATAAAAGGAATTACTCCGCATTTCACAAAAGCAAATTTCATTAACGCAGTTTGGTTTCCATTTGCAACTGGATGGACAGATTATGGATAGAAGATAGGAGCACTGAGTTACCAGGGCTTAATGAGTTACCTCTTGTCAGCTGTGCCACAATCCTACCCTGTTAGAGCTGACATACACACGCTTAAACCTCTGTCACAATCAACCCATTACCTTAAATGGCACAGTTGGTTTAAACTAACACATTTTTTTCTCAACAGCCGTGGGCAGAAGGCATGCTCACATGTGTTTGGTGGAGCAGCCCAGCAGAAAATGTGTCCAGGTATGTGAGCGATCACTTGCCCGTGACTCATCATGGTCCAGAGGTATCTGTAAACTGGGACAACCCTGTCATGTATCGGAGCCTATATTCTCGCTATGCTCTGGCTCCAGCATGGCTCTCACATTTGTTGTCAGGAAGATAAATTCAGAGGTGATCAGTGCCTACAATGGTGAACTATGCATGAGTAAGCAGGTAAGAGTCCAAAGGTGCTGTAGCACATGCAGAGAGCTCACCACACCAAGGATAGCTCAAGCTCGTTTGAGAAAAGCAGTTCAAGCTCACTAATAAAGAGTTCAGCATCATTGCTTGAACATTTACAGCTTCTTTTTTGGACTCACTTGTAAATTGGGTCTCCCTACTCATTTTTAAGCCTGACTCTATTGTTTTCATTGTGCCAATACAATTTATTCTAGAAACAGCAAAGAAAACGTACAACCAGTAGAGAAAGTCTGACGTGTATGTTTGCCACACATTTTGGGGACAGGACTCAGAGGTTTGCCTCGCTCCATAGAGAAAGCAGAAGAAATAATTGTGTACTTGGCTTTTTTGGAAAATTTTCAGTGATACCCCCTCATACAGTAAAACACTCAAGTTTCCTTTGAGGCCAGGAATGCTGCCTTCTGTGCCAGGTTAATCCTTCATAGTGAATGCCACATTCCCAAGGTGGAGAGTTGACTACAGATTTTCTATTTAGCTGCAAGCACTAGAAAAATTCACTTTCATTTACTGTAATCTCCCACTCTGTAATATGACCAGAGTTTTCAACACGCACAACTGGGGCAGATTTTCTTGCTTTACTTTGCTAAGAATTTGGCTCCCATTTAAAAACTAGAAGGAGTGGCTAAGTTTTGAATAAGTTCTTCACCCAAATGTCTGAGACTCTTCTGAATCAGCGACTGAAAAATTATCAGCACCCAGTGTGTGAAAAAAACAGGAGAAAAAAATGCATTTAGACACCTAAGTGAAAATTCTATTCTTTTAAAAGTCTGGTCCCAACTACTGGAGATGACCACATAAAATCCATCTCTGCACTTCCTGGAAACATGCAGGGAGAACAAATCTGCGAATAATGGACTAAAATGCAGTGGAAGGCGGTGAGAACTCACATAGCTTTAGCCTTTAAAAAAGAGCATTTATGGTATCTGAAAATGTTGGCACTACAAATGACCTTATTGACAAAATTCAAAGAGTAAAAAATAAAAAATGCTTTCTGTGTATTATTGCTTTTGTCTTGTTTTCAACTTTTAATTATTAATCTTCTGATAGTCTCACTTTATGCTATTCCTGTCACCCAAGATCATAAAAACACAACCCCATTTCAGACTCGGTAATGGTGAGAAATTAAATGACTTTGAAGGAATTTACTTCTGCCTAAAAATGAGCTGCAATTTATGGTCACAACACAAGAGACAACTTGTCTAAGAAAAGGGCCACAGTGAGACCCTTTTGGCATTTGGGGGTTTGTTGTTGCTTTTTTTTTTTTTTTTTAACCAACAGAAATTATTGATACTTCCCAGTTAAGCCTTTGTAGCCTCAAACATTTAAAAGCCCAATGATTTTCAAATAAAACTGCGTTATGAAAGAGGGACAGAGATTCTATCATCTCTGGAGCAGCCTCAATCAACCTACTTCACATTCTCCTTCCTTCTCTATAAACATTCATCCTAAAGAAAGGACTACATGTTACCAACTCCATCCTGAAAAACCAAAGTGATTCACGGTATGGCCTCAGAGATATAAACCTAAGAACTTTGCATCAAAAAACTGTATCAGGGATGTTACGTTCCAGAAGTACTTTACATAGCTGTTTTACCAATCACCTTGCATACCTATTAAACATCTTGGGCTTTTAACACGCTTGGGAAGGAAGAAGCCAGTCTTGCTGTTTACAGATTTGAACAAAACCTTTGCTGAGGGTCTACAGTAGCATTCCCAATGCTATTTCTATCTTTTGCCTAATATTTGCCACCTACAGTCATTTCCTTGCAGACTAAGCAACTTGCATTATTTAATACCTGTTTGACTTTAATAATGGCTTGGAAGAAACTGATCTACTTTGCAGACATTTTCATCTAAATAAAAAAAAGGAGAACCAGTATTTATAGGTTCACTCCTGCAAAAACTTAGGGGATATCACTCACGTATACACTGTTAAACACATGAGCGAGCGTTCCCAGTATCAAAGGCTATAATTCTAACAAGCTGAGGTCTCTATGACACTCCTAACAATTTTGACTTCTACACAGTGCTAGCTGCCACCACAGAATACCTGTTGAAGATGAAGTTAATGATGAAGACTTATCTACTCAGTTATCCTGCAGTTATATCAAAGATTCTAGATAGATGTGAGAACCTCAGAGACGTTTCTCTTCACGTGCGACCCAGTAAAAGGATGCTGTCAGGCAGATTTATACCCTTAATTTGGGGTTACTGAAAGAACGTTTGTACTTAATACTAACTGGAACGTTTCCATCTATTTTCTAAGTGAAATGTCAGTAATTTGCATTTCTTTCTCGGACACAAGTATCCTCGCCCTGCAGTGTAACGTGACACAGCGTAGTGTTACGTCAGGCTATTAGACCAGAGGATGAAATGAAGCGGAAACCAAACAGGAATTCCCAAATTCTCATTGCCATAACTAAAGTTTACCTTACTTGATTGCAACCATTTTTAGTACTGTTAATAATAGACAGCATTTTAACCTGACAACATCCTTCTAAGTAAGTCAGAACCACACACGCAAAAGCCTAAGCCCTGCGTTGTAAGAATGTGTGTGAACATGTGAAAGACGTGACTAGGTGTGTACAAGCCTTTTCTACAAGTGACTAGAAGCCCCAGCGGCAATGATACTCACGTTGGCATTGTCCCCAGGACAGTCGGGCCCAGCCCCAGCAGCAGTCAATTCTACTTCCAAACCGACACAACCCTGCAGAGGAGACTATTTGTCTGGGCCACCTGAACAAGACAGTTCAAAAAAGTCCAGTGAAACATTTTGAAAGCAGCTAAAATGATTCTAGATTAAGAAAAACAAAAGACAAAGACCAGCAAAAGCCTCTCATGCATGGAGATCTAAATTCCTTTTCCTTTTTGAAAACAGTAAGCGCTTTAAGCTGAGTCTGTGATATTTCTATCATTAACGCTGTGTTTAGTTCAGAAAATGTAAATGACTATAGGCAAAGAGGGGAAAAGATAATTAGGGTAAGTTTGTAAAAATGCATTAAACAAAACTGACGTGCTTTGCAATATGCTCACTGCTGCCACTCCCAGGCTGGTATTGAATAATTTCAGAAGTCTGAAACAGAATTTATAACGCAGAATAAACCATCATCATAAAGTTTCAGCATTGGTTTATTTCACAATATATGGCCAAATTTTCTCACAGAAACATTAAGGGGGGGAGGGAGAAATAAAAAAAGCTTCCTGAAGTGTTAATCATAAATTAAATAGAGGAGGAGAGCTGTAGTCTTCCCTTGTTCCCAGGAAAAGATACCACAGTCTCAAGCAATTACCAAGTATTGACATAAATTGTTAATGTTTTTCACTGACAAGCTGAAATAACGCGAATGCTGCGTCTCAACAAAAAAAAAAGAAGCCCTCGGAGCGGGGATGGCGCGGGCCGATCGACGCGCACCCAGAGCGGTGGCGCTGGGCAGCCCGCTCC